GCTGTCTCACGTCAGCAAAGATCGAAGGTTCGAATCCTTCTCCCCTCACAACCATATTTATGGTCCACCCACATGAGAGAGTTACTCATTAAAACTACCTATTCGACTGAGAGAGTTACTCGTTAAAACTTGAGAGGAAGACTCATTTAAAGTGAAAGATCTGAGAGAGTTACTCACTAAAAAACTACTAGGCTACGAGTCTCACCTTCATTTAGATAACCCCCTACATTGTACCTACTCAATTTGTACCTAGATTAAATTCTAGCCTACGTAGTTACTTGCAGGCCTTAAGCCTGCACGTCTTATATAGCCCTTTGGGCTGAGAAAGGACGTTAAACTATAATAATAATAATAATAATAATAGTTAGCGAGTGATGCGACCCCTCGGCGTGACAAGTCGGTCCGTTCTGGCGTCGTCCAAGGGCATCGCACAATACACAACGGTTAAATAAAACATGCACATCCACTGAAGAACAACCGATCACATTGTTTCACTCTGAGGGCACGGCAATGAAGCTGCGCTGCCATGTCCTGTCCTGCCCTGTCCACTAGGCCAACGCATGTGTACCCGCCAGTGCCCATCTACTGGTGGGGACAAAAGCAAGACTGCAATATAAAATATGGCAGGTAGCAACAGGGCCAGTACACCACGCCGTCAAGCATGCTCCCCTTCTTCGACGACTTCTCGTCCCATGCGCTAGGCGAACGGCGAGATGGTGAACTAGAGCTAGCTGATGAGCCGGTCTACGATTCCAAGCTACCAGACTCTGCACTTGGGCCGCTACAGTAGCTTAAGTCCGACGCCGTCTCGTGTCGTGGGGAGCTGTGGTGGTAATGCGCACGCGGACGGTCGTTGGGATGGTCGACAGTCTCCGAATAATGGCCATCTAGCGCATTCCTGTATGCTGGAGCCGGTGTTGGGGGCCATGTGCACGATGGCATCGCCTGACTGTGAGTAGCGGTGGGATATCGGGGGCTAGTCTGCGCTCGCGTCGTGGCATCTTGCTCGTCTGTTCCATCCATTGCATGGCGAGCTACGCAAAGTCAGTTCAGGCGTCACAAGACACGGTGCGCGACATACTGGTGTGAGCAGTTTCGTAACGCGTTGGGCTTCTATCCACACCACGGCTGCGGTGTGCCTCGATACCATCACTGTCTGCCCCCGGATTCGCAGTCGCATAGTCGAGCATCTTCATCAACTTGTAAAAGAACACAGCCAACAAGGCGCCGAGTAGAGGTCCAAGCCAGTAGATCCAGTGATGGCCAGGCCACACACCCGTGATGACGGCAGGTCCAAAAGAACGAGCAGGGTTCAACGAGCCTCCCGTGAAGTACACACCAGCCAGCTCGGAAATGAAAAGCGCAAGTCCAATGACAATTGGAGCTACAAATGTCGCCCTGTGCTTCTCTGCAGCCAGCATGAAGATGGTAAGAAGCAGCATGAAGGTGAGGAACATTTCGATAAACAGGCCTCTTGTGACTGACGTCTCGCGGCTGAGAGTCGTGTTGACAGCCAAAGGTCCAGGGAGGAGGCCCGAGACGATAGCGGCAGCGATGATGGCACCAATCAACTGTGCGACTATGAGCAACAAGGCCTTGATCCAGCCAAGTGCTCCGACCAGGGTCAAGGCAATGGTAACCTAGATGGAGTCAGTGGCAGGGCCAGTGTGAACCAGCCGGACAGCACTTGCAGCAGGATTGAACAGACCTCCGCTGATGCGGAAGAAGACCCAAACATTGACTGCTAGAGAGAAGCCAAAGGCCAGGGATATGTAGAGCAAAGATGCAATGTCCATGTGCCGGGGGCCGGTAAGGTTTCGTAGATTGTTTGCAACCTGGGTTCCGGCAAAGGCAAAGAACAAGAAGAGGAATGTGCCGACCAACTCGCCCAAGAAGGAGACGAGCAAGGAACGAGTTTTGTAGGGAAGTCCTCCAAGGCCAGGCGAACCCCTTTCACCCGGGCGGTTCGGGTCCTCTGCATAGTGCGCCTTCGTGCCTGGCATGACTGTCGGACTGCCTGCTGTCTGCTGTGGTCAAGTGGAGTGAGAAAGGAGAGGGCAATAGGGTATGCTCTGCTCGGACAGGCTGGAGCCGGCAACTAGGCGAACGGGGTGTAGAGATAGTGGCGCTAAAGGTCGAAGGGGTTGTAGAAGAATGCAGAAGTAGGCTGTAGGTGGTGCTGTTTGGAGAGGAGCGTAGAGTGCGTGGAGCAAGGTCAGGAAACAGAACTAAATAGGACACAGAGGAGAGAAGACGTGATGGCACAGAATGGATTCGGTAGGCGGCCATGGTGAGGCTGCAGGTACTATGAGGGTGGATGGTGGTGCTTGCTACGGAAACGGCCATGTCGAAGCTCTGGTGTGAACTCGAGGAAGACGCCAGGAACGGTGTTGCCGGTCAAGACGGTGCAAGGGCGACCATTGCAGCCTGTAGTAGTGAGTTTGCGTCAACTTGTGCCTTACGCATTAGCCTGAGAGTGTTGTGAATGCTGCTTCTTGCGGCTAGCCGTTGGCAGCTGCAAAACAGGGATTCGGCGCAAGGAGTGTTGTGACCAAGCGAGCGCAGAAGGTCCGGATATCGCCAGGCAGGGGGGCCGTTTAATAGAAGACGGGTTCTATTCTAGGACAGGGGGCGTGGCGGTGCAACGGATGAGCCCGTACTCGCTTGCCGTACGCACAGTCTGAGGCAGCAAAGTATATATATGTACGAGTCGTGCGAGGGGGGGAGAAGATGCGTGGGGGACGGAACAAGGGGAGGCTTCTTGTTTTTGTTGCTGGGCGGATGGGCGGATGGGCGGATGGGCGGATGGGCGGATGGCTGGGCTGTGGCTGGCGATGGCGATGGCGATGAAGTGAGGGAGTGCCTGTGGTGGTGGTGGCGGAGGTGGCGGCAGCGTGCGGGGCTTGGGCTTGGCATTGATCCCCAGAACGGGCCATGACCCCAGCAGTGGCCGGATCCATCACGACATGATGTTGGGCTCCCACTAACAATGTACTATTATGTGCAGGTGCAAGCATTCGCCCCGCGTCCCATGAAACGCTCCCTCTCCTGTTCGGCCCTCTCTGCTAGCCTCCCCTCGACTGCATACCCGCCCCCGGACCTGTAGATGCACTGCGACTCCGTTTGCTGTTCCTTTTGCGCCTTTTTTTTCGTCCTGCATTCTGCTGCGTGCTATTCGCCCCTCGCACCCTGCTCGCCGCTCTCTCCCCACCTGTCTTGCTACCACTACCGCGTCATCCACCACCATCACCACCACCACCACCACCACCACTCGGCACGCCCTTCACCCTCCACCACCCTCCTTGCCTTGCGCCCGCGTGACTGCCAGACGACATCACACCACGCGCTGCTCGCTTACATCAGCCCATGTATTTACTCTCCTAGACTGCCAGCGCCTTCTGCTGCTTCCTTCCCTCTTGTCCGAGTCCACGGCTACCCGACGACGCCCGCCGCCAGCATGCGTCCACTCCGCCTACTCGTCTCGCTGGCCACGAGCCTGGTGGCCTGCACCCTAGTCCTCTACATGGTCCTGGGCGCCTTCAAGGACGACGGCCAGCGACAAATGGCCTCGGCTGCACCCAAAGGCGGCTTCAAGGCCTTGTTCTCGTTTGCGTCGCCAGGCTCGCTGTTCCCGCCCTCTGCCATAATTAGCCTGACCGACGACAACTCGACCTTTTTCCTCGCTCGCCCCGCCGCATTCGGTCCTTCGCTGCCCAAAGACGGTTTGAGCGGCCCACTATGGGTCGGCAGCGGCTTCGGCGACGACTCCATGGGCGCGGGCGGCGAGTTGGGTTGCAGCGATGTGCCTGGCTGGCACGACGGCAGTGACGAACTCATGGCCACTTCGAGGCCAGCCGGGGGCAGCAAAACAAAGTCCAAGCACCTCGGTCTGGGGAGAGACGCAACTCCCAAAGAAGGAGTACATGGTGGTGGCGAGCATGCCTCGCGTCATGTCTCGGCAGACGACGGTACAGACGACCATCTGCAGCCTCGTGGCTCCAACGCACGCACACAGTCGAGACGCGTCCACGCCGACATTCAGTCGCTTCAAGAGAGTGCCGAAATCACTGGTAAAATCGTGCTCCTTAAGCGAGGCGGCTGTGGCTTTCTGGCCAAAGTGCAGTGGGCACAATCGCGCGGAGGAAAGGCCGTCGTTGTGGGCGACGATGTTCGTGGTGGTGCGCTCGTAAGGATGTACGCCAAAGGAGATACCTCCAACATCACTATCCCCTCTCTTTTCACCTCGCACACGACTGCGCATCTTTTGTCTTCGCTTATGCCAGACGACAGCGCGCTCGCCAGGACTGTCAAAAACTTTAGTCCCCCGTCTCGAAACGCCGCCAAGAGTTACAAGACCCCGGGCTACAGGAAAGAGTATGGCCACGGGACCAGTACGAAGACTTCTCATCCGGGCTTCCTACACTCGTTCTTGGCTTTTTTCGGGCTTGTTCAAACCGAAGATGTTCTCAAGGCCGGGAGTCGACGACTACCCAACAGCGGCGATCTCGAATGGGTCGAGATGGACGGTTGGGACGATGACGAAAAGCCCATCAGGACCAAAACCATGGTTCCTGCGTCAACACAAACAAGGATTTCGGACGGTTTCGTCATTGGCGAACAAGACTGGCGGGATCCTGATCTTCTGCCTCTTCCAACACCTACCAGTGAAGCCCAAAAGGCGGCGAGTACAACGCCCATGCCAGTCATTCCGGATGGAAACAGCTCTCTCGGAAGCAGCGGGTACAGCGATACACATGGGCGCCGCAAAGAACTTTGGGTCACACTTACACCAACAAATGTCTCGAGTAGTCCATTCTTCGACACCCTTCTCGTGCTTGTTGTTAGTCCCCTTGTCACTCTGACTGTGGTATACGTCCTGCTCCTGCTCCGTTCTCGCATACGGCGCCGCCGATGGAGAGCACCCAAATCGGTCGTCGAGCGCCTTCCTGTCAGAACCTACCAGACCATCAACGATTCCCCGCCTTCTTCTGCTGTAACGCTGACCGCGGCTTCTCCCACCACACCTCTACTCCAACACTGCCCTCCTCGATCTAGATCGGCTGATTCAGGCTCGCGCTCCTCGACAGATTCCGATGTCCCAGGCGCTTCAACATCTACACAAACCCATACTCGTGATCGCGAAGAAGAGAAGCGCGAATCCGGACTAGCAGCTTGGAGAAGACGCTACGGCGGACGGCAAAGGGAATGTGTTGTTTGCCTGGAAGAGTATGTCGATGGTGTCAGTCAAGTCATGAGCTTACCGTGTGGCCACGAGTTCCACGCGGATTGCATGTAAGTGTCCCACGCCTATTCGTTGAGGAATCGAGTCTGACATGCCCAGCACTCCTTGGCTTGTCACGCGCCGGAGGACATGCCCCATTTGCAAAGGTGATGTCGTACGTTCGCTGAGCTGGCGGCATGACCGACTGCAGTCAGCATCACCAGCACGTACCCCCAGAGGCTCTACTGGCAATGAAGACGTGCAGAGGCAAGCAGCGGAAAGCCGGAACATGTCTCCTTCAGCTTCTCGGCCAATGCCAACGTCTAGGTCATCAGAAACGAGCCCCCGTCCGCACGACGACATAGAAGCCGGCTGGCCTGGAGATGACGCGCATCGGAGTACCGGGTCGTCGCTGAGGGAGCTAGCATCGTCTGTTTCCACCGTGGTATGGCGCGGATTTGACGCTGTCCGCAACACAGCTGGCTTTCAGCGTCCTCCCCCAGGAGACGTGGATCGCAATCGGTAGTGTTTCTATTTATGATTCATCTCTAGGCATGAGGACTTTTTGGTTGTATTCAAGGCATATACCCCTGGGCGGTACACGGGCGTTGACTTTGGACTTGAGCATCTTTCATGGACTTGATGCTGCTTTTACCAAAGGTGCACCCACAGGAAAGCGCGGCGTAGCATGGGTCACGTCTGGATTCCTTTGAAACCCCTACTCAATTCATGTTGTAGTCTTTTCCCCGCTCACTACCAAATGCAGTCGACATTTTTGCCACATGTGGATTGGCGTAGGTCTGTCATTCAGGGTAATTGATCTTACCTTGGCGGTACGCGGCAGAAAGTGCCTATACAGGGCGCACCAGATGCAGATTCGTTGTCTCACAAGATGCGCACAAGCACCAATGACATGGCGTGCAAGGATGATAAACGGCTGTCTTGGCGTCAGCACCTCAGCCGCTGCGGAGTCCCTTGCCTGTCACATTCGCTCATTTCACTATGCTGTGTGCGTTGCGCCGCGTGCTCTTACTGGATTCCCCCAAGAAATGTGGCACAGCCAGCCTGAGTACGCGTACGACCTCAGCGTATTCCTCGCCATGAAGAGCAAGTTGTAAGCCCAGTTCGCGACAAGGCCACATCAGGCCATCTTACTGTTGCGAGCGCTGCGTCTTGGTTGGGAACATGAAGCCCGGAAGTTAGTGCACAATTATCCGGTTTGTATGCTTGTTTCATATATACCCATACAAGGCTCTCTCGTATTCTTCTGCTATGTGGCTTTCTTTAATCAATATGCCGCCCGCCCGAGCAAACAACAAATGGAGGGAGCTCGGGGCGTAGCATTATAGACAGGGGGCCTGGATCCGAACATGCGCTGCCACTGCGATGAACTGCACTCCGCAACAGGGAACCAGGCCCCAGTACCGGAACTCACATAACCGGGAAAAGCTTAAAGTCGTTACTAATATTGGCAAGTCGACTGATTGAGAAGACCAAAAAGATTGCTCCCTCTTCGTCGTTGACATGAACCTCAACACAACATAGGGGATGGAACGAACGATTGGTTGGCTACCGCTCTCCACGAGCTTACGACATTGTTGGATGTCTCATCTAGTTTCTCGCAACAGCTTTTTCTATATTCGTCAAATGCGACATAGATGATGATTTGCAACGGGCACACGTGGATTTTTTTGCCAGCCGAAGCAGCTGCCAAGGTCTTCAGCAGTGGGCTGAGAGATCGTGTTCATTACGCCACTATGATTGAAACCCTCAGCAGACGCAGCTTGTTCCCTCCAGACCAATCGGAATTCTTGGTCGCTTCCTTGGCGAGTGTTGTAAGATGGATACATCGGATGAGTGCTGTAGTCACGTGCCATGTGTAGGGCCACTGCGTGCTTTCCTAGTATATATGGCCATGTAGTCAACAAACAAATGCTGCACACTCTACTCTTCCAGCTTCTTTCCACCGCTTCGCCTGCCGAGACTGAAGCAATCTTACCTACTCAACATGAAGTCACTTTTCCTCCTCTTGCCTCTGCTTGGCACTATCCTCGCCCTCCCGCAGGATATCCAGGGCAGCAACTGCGAAGCTAATTGTCCCTTCGTCAGGTGCGAGACTGATGATCCGCAGGTGTGTTTCTGAGCGCTGGCTCACTATTGCTTGTGCTGCAACAATTGCTAACCAGGACAGAAACTATGCGAATGCATCAACAACCGAGAAAGCCTCTGCAAGGAAATATGCCCTACGTACGAACCAGTCTTCGTAGTAAGTTCACAAGCTGTACTGCATGTTCCCGAATTTAACACACACCTCAGGCATGCCCTCCCCTGCCAACCCCTATCAAGGCCGCAGACCCAGCACCATCCACATGCGTCTGCGAACCCGTTTTCTGCATTCAGTCATGGCCCGAATCCTGCTACTGCGAGAACGATGCCAAAAAAGCGTGCTACGACAAGTGCGGCGGCACGCCACCTACATACGCCACTTGTCCACCTCGCACCGTAACAGCCCGCGAGCCAGAAGCCGCGCCAGAAGCCGCGCCTGAGACCTGCAAATGCGACAATACCTACTGTACCCAGGTCTGGCCCGACTCGTGCTACTGCGCCAACGATGCAAAGAAAGCATGCTATGAAAAGTGCGGCGGGCAAATCCCAACATACAACACCTGTCCGCCTCGAGGCGTGTCCGCTCGTGCACCAGCCCCAGTCCCAGCACCACCAGCGCCTACTCACGAACCATTGTGTGTATGCGAAGAAGTCATGTGTATCCAATCGTGGCCAGAGTCCTGTCTCTGCGCCAACGACGCAAAGAAGAAATGCTACGACAAGTGCGGCGGTGTGAAGCCAGTGTACCAAGACTGCTCTCCGCTCGACGACATAACGGCAGTCCCCCGGTCAGCAGAACCCACCGACGAGTGCAAGTGCACTGAGATTCAATGCCTGCAAATCTACCCCGAGGGATGCTACTGTGCCAACTATGCAAAGGAGCTTTGCTACAAGGAGTGTGGCGGCGAGAAGCCTGTGCTAGAGGTATGTACACCTATTGCTACCCCTTCACCCCTTGTCATGAGAGTAGTTAACTAACTTACTTGCCAATGCACAGAGTTGCCCACCCATCTCCATTCCTAGTCTGACCACTAAAACCATTCACCCTACGACAGCAGTAGCTGCAGCCCGCCGCGCAACGCCTACAAACCAAGTCTGTGGCGGAGGCCGCGGCTCGCCCCACCCAGACTGCCCCTCTGGCCAAATCTGCATCACGAATCCATTTGACAAGGGCTCTTGTGGCCCTGCCTGTGACCAAACGGGTATCTGTGTCGAGGACAAGCTGTGTGGTGGTTTTGGCGGCTTCGCGTGCAAAAAGCAGGGTCAGATTTGCGTGGATGATCCTAGGGATGACTGCGATAGCGAGCATGGGGGCTCAGACTGCGCCGGCTTGTGTGTTTGGCCGCAGTAAGTGTTGATGGCGGTATGGATATGGTGTGGGTATCGACTGCGTCTATTCTTTTGAGAGTACGGTCTTTGTTCGATTTCCTTTCTCAAAAGCACGAGTTCGGTCCTTTGTAAGTTACGGTAGCATGTTATGCTCCATGCATTGTGTATCCCTCACCTTTTCACATCAAATGCTGTCACGGTATTCAATGTCCACGCATGTATTTTTCATGGTATCGCAGGCCATTATAGTACAATCGTCATCATGAAAGAGTTGGGGCCCAGAACAGCACGGAGCTGACTACCCAATGGGATAAGATGGTGAAATACGCCCTTGAACTCCAGCTTCCGTGCAGAAGCGACCAATCAAAGCAAATGCTAACAGATTTGCCCTTCAGTATGACGCTCAAATGTGCCCAGATGACCTTCCCTGACGCCTCTAGATGGTAGAAATCCCTCATCCACATTGGTGGCCTCGATATCCTCCCCCAACGCCTGAGACAGCCAAATGGACCGGGGGGCCGTCATTAACGCCACCTGAAAATGCAATGCCGTGGTATCGACCAGCCAAAAAAACCACCCCAAAAAAAACACCGCCCATGTTCGTAAGAAGAGACCGAGAAACCTGATCGTAACCATGCAGATGCCGCTAAAGTCAAAAAAGAAAGCAAGGAGATGGACTGGAAGCGCCGCTGCCAGCAGAAGACTCTAACAATAACGAGCTGTGATGATGTACACAGAAACGTCAGTATTGGGCTCATGGACAGGATCAGAATTGTCCACGAAGCCCGGTCTGATTGAGCTGCGGCGTCGCTGGATAACAGCCCTATAGTACAAGATTAGCAAAGATGGCCAAGAGCACATGAGACAATTCAGCGAATAACGCCCCAACTGTCCATACTGCTTAGGCCTCCAGTGCGCTCCTTCTTCTTGAATGCATTCCAGAAACGAAGCGTCTCGTCGCCAGCACCAGTGACAATCACCTGACCATCTGGGCTCATGGCCAAGTACAGTACACGGTACGTGTGACCTGTCAACGAAACGACTTGCTGCATGCTTGGGTACTTCCAGACAATGATTTGGTTTTGGCTGTATCCGTGTGTGGAAACGATTTCGTTGCTGTTCTTCGACCATGCGAGGTTGCAAACTTGGCTGCCGGTATCGAGGCTGTTGATGAGGTTTGCTGGTGCTGTGAGTGAGAGAGGAATGTTGGTGGTAGCCGCTGCTGATGCGGCAGCCGATGCCGATGCAAGAGCCGAAGCCGATGGACCGTTGGAGGAGATGAGCGTGTTCCAAAACTTGATTGTTCGGTCCGCCGTACCGCCCCCGCTGGCGAGAAGACCGCGCTGATGTGGGCTCCAGGCAATTGCTTTGACGGCAGCTTGATGTTCGCTCCACTTGAATGTGGGCTCGGCGTTGAGCTTCTCCCACACCATGAGCTTGTTGTCGTTGCCTCCAGAAGCGAGCTGTCCATCTTCTTGATTCCACTTTAATCCGCAAATTTCTTGCTTGTGGCCGACGAGCTTGCGAAGCCATTGCTCTGGCTGTCGGACATCTCGGTGGTAGATGGTGCGGTCACGTGACCCCGAAGTGAGGATGTGCTCATTCCACGCTAAGGCGCCGACACGAGCTGTGTGACCTGTCATGGTACGCAGGCGGCGCTGCGTCTGTGCGTCCCAGATTTGCACTTGGCCTCGATTTGTGCCCACGGCAATGTGGGAGCCCTTCTTTGTGTTAGCATGTTTCAAGAAGCTACACTCAATCTGAGACTTACACGTTGTATCCAGTTGACACTGGTAACAGCATCATCGACTAATTCGCACAGCTTGGTCACTCGGCCGCTACTCGAATTCCACATGTAGACACACGATCCGAGTCCGACTCCGAGGGTATTCTGGCTACCCCAGTCGACAAGGTTTAAATAGAAATCGTCTGCCAAATCCGGTGCATCCAAGACTTTGTACGGCACCTTGGACACAGCGCGGGCTTGGCGTTGTGGACTGAGAAGCATGCGTTGACTGCTGTACTTGATTGGGGACAAACTGTAGAGATCGGAGCGAGCGTTGAGGTTGAGTACGCCATGTCGGCTTGAAGGTGTCCGTGACGGGGTTGGCTGGCCCGAGTAGGAGAACAAGTTCTTGTGCGGGGTAGAAGGAGTGCCTGAAGGCGGTGGTAGTGAGGCTGTGGTCCTGGCTGGGGGGGTGTGCGAGCGTCCTACACCCCTCATATTACCCGTTTCGGTTGGAGACATGCTTCGAGGCAAGGCCTGAGGCACCGAGCCCTCAAACATCTCTTGTCGGAGTACCGCGGAATATGTTCGGTTGGCTTCTTCAGCTAGGTACTAGTCAGTCAAGAATACTTTGCAACACTGCCACGGTGCTTACTCTTCTGGAAGTGCAGTTCGTTGTGAGGAGTTCGCCTAGCCTTGGACGGAGTCGCCGGGGATGCGTCATCGTGGAGGAGATTGAAGCTTGCCTGAAGATCCTGGCCTGCGCGATTTGGAATGAACCTGAGAAGAAGCGTCAGCGAGTCTTGGCCATGCCGAGGCAGTCTGGCAACCTCACCTGTCGCCGTAAATGCGCGGGCGCTTTCGGCTGGGGCTTGCGGTTGGTGTCCGCTCCCTGACCCGGCCCGCCTGCTCGATGTGCCCCAGGGCCTTGGACAAGGCGGCGGCATCTATGGGCTCGGAGTTGCGACTGAGTTTCTTGGAGGCGAAGGACTGGTTGCGCTTGTGCGAGGCGGTTGGCGGCGTCTTGGACTCGGGCGGGGAAATCAAGGTGGGTGTTGCCGTGTCGTCTTCGTTGGGCGCAGTCGCCGCAGCCGTGTCTCCTGGGTCGTCTCGGGCCATGGCGATGGGTGCGCCGGGGTGGGGTGCGTGTGTTGGGGTGGGGGGGGGGTGGGTGTTGTTGTGGTTGTTGTTGTCTCTACCAGGCAGAGCAACAAAGACGTAGTGGGGCTCGCAGCGTCAAGGGCGGCGGGTCGCAGGCTGCGCTTGTGTGAGCGCGCGCGCGGGTGGCAGCTAGGAATGAGGGTGAGGGTGAGGGTGAGGGCGATGAAGTGAGTGCGGCGGTGACGTGGAGCGGTGGTGTGTTGTGGTGTGTGTTGTGTTGTTGCGATGAATGGTTGCCCCCTTGGCCGTGAGTCCACCTCTTGCCCAGCAACAAGTCGATTTGGAGCGCCAGAGTGCGAGGGATGGAGGAGCGTCTAGGCGGGCTGGGAGCGCATCGGAGTGTGAGGGTGGTGGTGGTTGCGGTGGTTGGCGCGCAACGGGTGGGGGTGTCGGGCGGTGACCTTGTTGTGATTGCGGGTCGGGGCTTGGGTGCTAGACGGCCGCGAGCAGCTGGGGGAGCAACGAGCGGCGGTAGCGAGGCTAGGCTGGAATGGGCCGATGCAGGGCTCGGCAGTGGCAGCACACCACCACCACGGCGTGCGGGCGTGCGGGCGTGCGGGCGAGCGGTGCAGGCGTGCGCGTGCGTGGAGGTGCGCGAGAGCGAGGGTGGGAGTGAGGGCAAGAGCGCGGCAGGCACGGGGGACGAGGGCAGTCGCGAGGGGCGCGCGAGGGCAGGCGCCGCCAGGTCGAGCCTGCCATGTTTGGCTGGTCGCTGTTGTGATGCTCTTCGTCGCGGCGCGTTTGCGTTGAGGCGGCGCCTCGGCCAATGGGAGGCGCCCGTGCCCGATCGGGCTAGCGTGGCGGCAGCGTTCCGCGCACGCCTTGCCACCCACGGCCAGCCGTCAATGCCAAAGCCAAAGCCAATACCCCACACCGCCCGCCGCCCGCCGCCCGCCGCCAGCTGCGAGACGCCGTGGTCCAATGCCTGTCGTGCTGCCCGCAGGACTGCCACTGCGAGCCACCCTAAGACTGCACCTGCACCTGCACCGCACTCCTGCTCCTGCTCCTGCTCCTGCCTCCATTGCCCCCTGTGCTCCATCACGACTCCTCCCCCTTTCCCTATCCCGTTTCCAACAAACAATGGCCACCAAGCCTTCTCTCGCAGCCGCAGAGGACTTTCTGTCCTTTGTGAATGCCTCGCCCACACGTATGTCGCGTCCATGCAGCATGCGAGTAGGCGCGGGAATAGACATGGCTGACTCGTCATAGCATTCCATGCTGTCAAATCAGCCGTCGAGCGACTGGAGAAGGCCGGCTTCAAGCAAATCAAGGCAAGCCTGCGCAGGCCCCTGTCGTCTTCTACATAGATGCTAACAGCTCGCCCCAGGAACGAGACTCGTGGGCGCCCTCCCTGCACCCCGGCGGCAAATACTACCTCACCCGCAACGCATCCTCCATCGTCGCCTTCGCCATTGGCCACAAATGGAAGCCGGGAAACCCCATCTCCATGATCGGTGCGCATACCGACTCGCCGTGCCTGCGCCTCAAGCCCGTGTCGAAGCGACAGGGCGACGGCTTCCTCCAGGTGGCGTGTGAGACGTACGGCGGCGGTCTCTGGCATACCTGGTTCGACCGCGATCTCAGCATTGCTGGCCGGGCCATGGTGCGGACAAAAGACGGCAACATCGAGCAACGGCTGGTCAAGGTGGATCGCCCCATCCTGAGGATACCCACATTGGCCATCCACCTCGATCGCCAGGAGACGTTCCAGTTCAACAAGGAGACGCAGCTGTTCCCTATTGCCGGCCTGGTGGCAGCAGAGCTGAACCGCCAAGGCAAGACCGAAGAGTCCAAGGACGAGGCTAAGGACGCAGACAAGGATGGCTCATACGAGCCGCTTGCCGCCGCAACAACCAGGCATCATCCCTACATTGTTGACATGATTGCCGAGGAAGCGGGCGCCGAAGCGGGCGATATCGTCGACTTCGAGATGGTCTTGTACGACACGCAAAAGTCGGTCATCGGCGGTCTGAACAACGAGCTCATCTTCTCTCCCCGCCTCGACAACCTGATGATGACCTACTGCAGTGTCGAGGGTCTCATCAAGAGCTTGTCATCTTCGTCGGCGTTGGAGAACGATTCCACAATCCGACTAGTTGCCTGCTTTGACCACGAGGAAATTGGCTCCCGCTCTGCACAGGGAGCAGACTCGAACCTCTTGCCTGCCGTCATCCACCGTCTGAGCGTGCTTCCAGCTTCCGAGAGCAACTCGGACAAGTCGTACGACAAGGTTGAGGCGGATACGGCTACTGCGTACGAGCAGACGCTAGCCACATCCTTCCTCGTCTCCGCCGACATGGCTCACTCCGTACACCCCAACTATCCCGCCAAGTATGAGTCCCAACACAGGCCCGAGATGAACAAGGGAACCGTCATCAAGATCAATGCCAATGTTCGCTATGCCACCAACTCGCCAGGTATTGTCTTGCTCCAGGAGGCAGCGCGTCGGGCGAAGCCTGCTTCGTACAGCATGTCGTCGACCAAGGAAGGAGTTCCGCTGCAGCTTTTCGTGGTTCGCAACGACTCGTCGTGCGGTAGCACCATCGGTCCCATGTTGTCCGCGGCATTGGGAGCTCGTACCCTTGACTTGGGCAACCCTCAGCTCAGCATGCACAGCATCCGCGAGACGGGTGGAGCGCACGATGTGGAGCACGCCGTGAACTTGTTTGAGAGCTTTTACGAGAACTATGAGGAGTTGGAGAAGAAGATTATTGTAGATTGACTGGATCGATCCAAGTTGTAGCAAGCAACGCTGTTGCAGAGGACGGTGTAGAATATGAATGAATGAATGAATGAATGATGACATGAGTGAGTACCCTTGTGACCTTGGGAACTGGCCGGGCTTGGTTCCGCAACCAACTGCAGGGTCCATGCCAAGCACCCCGCTACGGAGGAGCTCGTTTTTGGTAACCAAGGACTGTTCGCCCGTGCGTCTTTTACCGCCCAAAGCCACCCACATATCAGGTAAGAACAGCCAAGAGGACCATCTTGGTTCTAGATTAGTAGAAAAGCCTCAAGTACAATCCCTAGGATATTACTAACATGGTAAGCACTAGCAATAGACAGTCTAGCTCTGACATATTCTTCGTGTTGGCATACCATCCCACTATACAAGACACGCCCGACTGGTCTCTTCCATAGCCGCCCGAGTTGCATTGTCGTATTCCTCCAACGACTGTCTTAGTAGGGATGCAGCTAATGGTGTTAGGGAAGCGCACGGGCTACATACACCTCACTCAAAACGAGCTCCATCGTATTGCCATCTTCCACCAGATCGCCTTCCTGACAACATCACCCCGTCTTTCAAGATATCGTAAAAGCGAACAGTACCGGCAGTGATGGCGCCTCCTCAGTGTCTCTCAGGCGACAAGGCCGCAATAGACGAGTTCCTGGACAGATTCGACGTATGTTGCCAAACTACCCCGCTACCACAGCCTGTACTCATAAAACATCAAGGTTTTCCTCTTCGACTGCGATGGTATGCACGAATCTTGATCTTGCTACTGGATGGAGTCACCTCCCGATCTCTAGTTGGTTCTATACTATCATGTGCGGCGGCTTGCTGATTGTGACAAGAATAGGCGTCCTTTGGTCGGGCGATCATGTCTTTGACAAGGTCCCAGAGACACTCCAAATGTTGAAGAGTAAAGGTACTTCTTTCATGTAGCTGAGAGGAAGGATCGAGCTTACAAGCATGTCCAGGAAAACAAGTCGTTTTCGTCACCAACAATAGCACAAAATCCCGTGCCGACTACAAGAAGAAATTTGACAAACTCGGCATACCTGCTGAGGTGGTACGTAGCATAGAACCATGGCTGCCCTCACTTGCTGACACTGCACTAGGACGAGGTTTTTGGTTCCTCGTATAGCGCCGCCGTCTACATTGCTCGCATCCTCAAGCTACCCGCACCCAAGAACAAGGTGTTTGTGCTGGGCGAGTCTGGTGTGGAACAGGAGCTCGAGTCCGAGGGCGTCCCTTTTATTGGTGGTACGGATCCTGCTTATCGCCGTGACATTCGAAACCCAGAAGACTTTGAGGCCATATCCGATGGCACCCTCCTCGACCCCGACGTTGGTATTGTACTCAGTGGGCTAGACTTCCACTCCAACTATCTGAAGACAGCAATCGCCTTCCAGTACCTGCAGCGTGGAGCCGTCTACCTTGCGACAAACATCGACAGCACACTGCCCATGGCGCGCACCTTTTTCCCGGGCGCTGGCGCATCTGGTGCGGCGCTTGAAAAGGCAATCGGAAGGGCACCGCTGTCTCTAGGCAAGCCGAGTCAGGCTATGATGGATGCGGTGGAGGGCAAGTTCAAGTTCGACCGCAGCAGAACCTGCATGATTGGAGACAGACTGAACACAGACATCCAGTTTGGTATAGACGGCAAGCTAGGAGGGACGCTGGCTGTTCTGACTGGTGTGAGTAAGAAGGAAGACTTCTTGGCCGAGGGTGCGCCGACGGTTCCCACGGCATACGTTAACGCTTTGGGCGACTTGATGGGTTGAATGATCTGCGCAGCCAACAAGCATGCATCTGATATCGATAGACGGGCATAGACGGCAGAATACATCAGAGATAGAAGTGATAGAAGAGTTGAGTCCATGTATACGGTGTAGCATGTATGGAACCTAAAGAGGATGCCTGCCCCAATGATGATGCATGGAACCCATCAAGCACGCGGGGTGCGCGCACACCCCATGCGGTTAGCGTGATTGACGCGTTGACGCGACCGCGCCTGCCACTTTGAGATCCCGCGTCACCCATTTCGCAGGCGTGGCATAGCAGAGCAACATCAGCAGAACAACGACACCATGATCCGCCACGACCATTCCCGAGTTGACACTAAACGCCGCGCAAATCTTGACTACAAGAAACGGCAATTCGCCAAGGCGGAGTTCCAGCAACAGAACTATGAGCACCGACTCAACTTCTACGTCCTCCCACCCACGGCTGAGATTACACTCGACGAGTTTGAGACATGGGCAATCAACAGACTGAAAGGTCGGTGGCCCCGCCATGCCTATCTCCAAGCGCCTTCAATTGCTGACTCTGGATGCCGTAGTGCTCTCCGAACTCGAAGCATGCAGTTTCCGCAACAAAAGCCCAGAAGAAACGGCCGAATACATGAAGAGCATACTGGACAAATACCTGCCGCTTCGATCAGACTCGTCAAGAAGCCAGAAGCTGCAAGAAGAGAGGCGAAGAGACCACTACTCACACTTCATACTACGGCTTGCGTTTTCGTCCACGGAAGATCTTCGACGCCGATTCTCACGGTTGGAAACGATGCTGTTCACACTGCGCTTCAAAGATGACGATTTGCGAGAGCGCCAAAGTTTCGTCAAGAGTCTAAACTTGGAGTGGGAAGAGGTCAAGGAGGACGAGAAGCGCGAGTTGAAAGACGAGCTACATGCCGCGAGCGGGATCAAGAAGACTGAGGATCAGGAGTGGTTCAAGGTCGACTGGGAAAAGGTGCCAGAACTCGTCGCACAGAGAAAGGTGCTGCTGAAGAGAGGCATGGCATACGTGCCACAGCGAGAACAGATGAGTCTGGTCGTGGCCGAGTTCACAAAGAGATTGGATGAGGCGCTTGAGGTAGGCCATCGACGTAACATGCGCTCGACGTGTCTCGCTAACTGGCTGAACAGCTGACAGCACGAGCGCTTCCTCGTCTCGACGAAGACGACCGCCTTGCACCCATCCTTGCCCACCTTTCCCAGTCTTTCACGGCGCCCGATGCCGCATACTCGACATCTGATGCAAACATTGACGGTCTCTCTACAATCACCGCCAACAGCATCGACACACTGTCACAAAACTTCCCGCTTTGCATGCGCAATCTGCACCAGACGTTGCGCGAAAACTCACATCTCAAGCACTTTGGCCGTTTGCAATACACTCTGTTCCTGAAAGGCATAGGACTGAGCCTGGACGAGTGTTTGGTGTTCTGGCGGCGAAGCTTCAAGCTAATAACGGATGAAAAATTCCAAAAAGAGTACAAGTACAACATCCGCCACGCCTATGGCGACGTGGGTGGCGATGCGAACCGTCGTGGCCGCGGTTACACGCCATACTCATGCCAGAAACTTCTTACAGAACCCCTTCCTGGACCAGGTCAATCTCATGGCTGCCCGTATCGCACATTCACACCAGACAACCTCCTCACGCTCCTCCAGCGAGTTGGCGTGACCGACCGCGATGTTCTCAAGACTGTCAAAGACGACATGGTCAAGCAGAGGTACCACGTAGCATGCAACCGTGTCTTTGAATGGAGTCACAAGAAAGAAATCAAAAAGGTCAAGGATGAGGGCAGTTGGAGCAACAATGATCTGGATACCATTGTGCATCCCAATACGTACTTCAAGAGGAGTTGGTTGCTGAAGCATCTCGGAGAGGGCAACGCGGGCATTGTTAATGGGGGGGACAAGATGGAGGAGTAGATATTGCGAGTGGTTGGATATATGTTTCTGCTACATATTCATGTGTTTGGGTCCGCTGGGATATGGATGGAATCAGTGCATTATTGACAGCCACGAAACCATACGATGTCACGGCTCTTAAGATACTGGGTTTAATACCACCTCACTGGAAGACTATGACACGGCCCTATTGTGTCGGAGCGACTGCTCGCTCCTTGATGACTGCAACAGATGGAAGAGGGGATTGGTTGCAGTTGAAGGATTGCAAAAGCCGCGGTGAGCGCCGCTCGATCAAGTGATGCGCGGAGTTCATACACAAGCTTTGCCATTGGCCGGCCAACGGCCCGAGGATCGGTATTTCCGCCGCTGGGGTATCCAGTCAATCGCCGACAGCCCCGCCATAGCAACGTTTTCGGAATGTCGGAAGTGTAGCCGGAACCATACACGAGGGGAAGGTTGCATCATCAGCCCGGCTCTATTTCTTTCTTCCTTTCTCTCTGCCCCCGCACGCTGAGCATTTGAGAAGGAAAAAAAAGTCTACTCTTCACCGTGCAAAGCACATTGATCGTCATCAACAACATCCACCATGGCGCCAGAACTCTCCCAAAACAAGGCCGTCAAGATGGTCGCGCACGCCGCGGCGAACAAGTACGCCATCTGCGCAACATGCTGCTACAATGTAGAAGGCATTCTCGCATCTGTCCGCGCCGCAGAAGCCAAGCGGGCTCCGCTCATCATCCAACTCTTCCCATGGGCGGTGACGTACGCCGATGGTGTTCTCGTCCATGCCGCTCGCGAAGCAGCAGACAATGCCAGCGTGCCCATTGCTCTCCACATGGACCACGCCCAAACGCCCGAAATGGTCAAGCGGGCAGCCAACTTCAAGAACGGCTTCGACGGCATCATGGTGGACATGAGCCACTTCGACGACAACCTGGAGAAGACGGCCGAGCTAGTCAAGTACTGCAACGAGCGCGGCATCATTACAGAAGCGGAGCCAGGACGCATTGACGGCGGCGAGGACGGCGTGGGCGACTTGAGCGAAATGGGCCTCGAGGCCATCCTCACCACGCCCGAGCAAGCCGAGGACTTTGTGGCAACGGGAATCAACTGGCTGGCCCCCGCTTTCGGCAACGTGCATGGAAACTACGGCCCGAAAGGACCGCAACTCGACTACGAGCGCCTGAAGCGCGTGCACGCCAAAGTCGGTGACCGCGTCAATCTTGTGCTGCACGGTGCAGGCGCCGAGTGGTTCCAAGAGAAGCTGCTGAGAGAGTGCATCGACTGTGGCGTTGCCAAGATGAACATCAACGATGGATTTAACAATGACTTCCTCAACGTCATGAAGCAGCATGCAGCATCGACGCCCATTACTGGCCTGATTGAGAAGGCGACGGATGCCATGCAGAAGAGCATTGAGAACTACATTGTCTGGATGGGAGGCGAGGGTATGGCAGACAAGGTGTAAGCGTGTGCAAGTAAGACGGGGAGAGATGAGTAAAAATTTTGCGAGTAGGTGTATATATGATATGATTGCGATTTTGGCTTTGTATCGATGCAACATAGCTTCTGTGGGTATGAGTAATGTATGTCGAGTTATCATTTCAAATGCATCCACGTCTGACCGTGTCCCAAGTTGGAGTTCCAAGTTTTCCCGGCCGCTGGCGGTATGCGCTATGGAGAGGCTGGCTCAAAGTAGCTCAAGCTAAGTCTTTGATGCATCAGTCGCAAACTTTCTTACTATGCCCAGCCAAATGTGGAAATGGACATGACACATTATCTGTACATCACGAGTGAGTAGACACATTGGAGTGGCTTTTTTTCTTCTTCTCCGAATCGATGATGGTTGTTTTCGGTGACGTACAATAACACTCGAAATATGTAGGTAGGGCTGAGAGTGCTTTTATGCCAGTTAGCATCTGCAGTGATCACCAGTGTTCAAGGTTTGCTAGCGTGTTAATTGCTGTTATGCGGATTCGTCTCGACAAGCTTTCGCACCACACATGTATGGTGGTGACAGAGACAAACGCCAACCGAGCAGAAACATTCCAGCCATGTGGTTGTGGTTGCTTGTCCGATTATGTTGCATCTGCGCGAGATGTGCGCGACGTGCTGGTGTTTGGTTCGTGTTAAATGACATGAAGCGAAAGCTTTGGGAAATCGCCAACAAAAGCGGTTATGTACAGGTCGTAAGTGATGACTGAAAGACGCGTGGAGGAGCGTGGGCTAAAGGCATGATGTAGACTTGGGCAAAGGCCGGTAAAGAGGTACGTTGGGTCGGCAAAGTCCGGCAGAAGGCTAGGCGGGCAGTTTACGATGAGCGGATGCGAGACGACGCGAGCTGTCGATGGTGGCGGAGAAAGGTTTTAGAAGGGGCGGTTCCATGGCAGAATATCGGAACAGGACGTGTGTTGGGCTGGTGATGGGAAGGCCACATCCGTGGCTCGTTTCGAAGACTGGCCAGTGGCGCATGCAAAGCGTTGGCATTCGGCCTGAGTCCGTGTCACAGGAACGAGTGAGTTATGGTCAGCGAAACATATCGCGAAGCTTGTAGTTCGGAGGTTTGAGTCATGGCCTGGCTGCAAAAGATGCAGCTAAGTGGACGATGTACCAAAGAAATCTAGTGACCCGTCCGGGCGGATTGGTGGGTTCGGCATCGTCTCTATCGGCGTGTGGTTGGAAAACACCAGCAATCATGCGGACTGATGCTGAGCACAGGATTTTGGGCAACTGGACGCATCGCGTTTCAGCAAACTTGGCCGAGGGCGTGTGCAAGGACGTCACTGTCTGTTCTGACGGGTATGTAGGTGTAGCGAAGTCCAGGGTCCGCCAGCGTGTTTGAGTCGTAGTATCGGAAGCAGCGAAATGAGGCAGGTAAGAGCCTCAGGCTAGCGGCTAAGCGTCGATCGAGTCGTGAAGTGCCCATAAGCCAAGGTTGGACGAGGTTGTTAAGGTTTGAGGTGATGTGCGGACAGTCGACGCATCACTGCAGGGATGGCGCTAGCGGGAGGGTAGCGTGGCGCTAGACAGGGGTATGGGCCGCCCGCGGCTTGGCAGGTTACGTCCATGTATCCATAGCCCCCCCGTGCAACTCGGCACCGTGATGAGCAAACAGCAAACAGCATCTCGGAACCCCGTCTGCATCCAAGTATCGAGACGTAGTTGCAAGGCAGCATCCAGCTCGCCCGACGCTTGCCCGGCCTCGCAGGCGGGAATGCACGTCGAACATGGGTGTACAGACATGGACACACACGATCCGCTGCACATATGCACCTAGTCACCATGGCTAAAGCTTGCACGACGCCCACCAGAATGCTGAGGCACTGGCTGTAGCTTCTTTAAGGGCATTTCCCAAATGTCCATAGGATGTCCTATTCTTAGTGAGCCCTGGGCCAGATGGGCTCCCGGTAGCCACTGCGTGCATCCGGAAGCTTGATGCCCTACCAAAGTACCCAACGGGTTCAGGCGCCTACCGTGCAACAGACCTTGTCCACCGCTGCCACTCGATGCCATGTCCAAGTGCCCTCTCAACTTCTCGACTAATGTGACACCAGCATGTTGACGGCGGCCAATGCTCTCCTGGGCGTGCTCCAGCTGCTAATAGACGAGCCGGCGGCTCATGTGTGTGTGTGTGTGAAGCCCCACCCAATTAAGTACCCAGCATATCATTAACGTCTGGATCCCAAGGTCATCCATCCTTTGCGATCTCGTCTCCCTCTCCGCAGCCGATCTGGCCCATGCTATATGGTCGTCTTGGCACGTCTTCCATCATCAAACCATGCAGCTGCCACCCGTGAGCGTGATTCTGAGCTGGCCAACCCCAAATTACCATGATCCAGTCACGCGCGGCCCGGCCCTCGTCATCATCAATTCAATCTTCGTCACCATCGCCACTCTGACTGTCGCTGCGCGATTATACACGCGCATAGTAATCAAGCATTGGTTCGGTGTTGACGACTTCTTCATCATACTCGCCCTGGCAAGTCTCCTCCCACAACGGCTGCACGCTCGTCTGACACTGCATAGCTATTCACTCTCGGTCTGACTACCGTCGTTCTCTTGGCAAACAAGTCGTATGGATGGAACAGGTCAGTTATCCGTATCCACGTCTCGTCCGAGGAATCTTCGCCGACCATCAATGAAAACAGACATATTTGGGATATTCCATTTACCCAGTTCGTTCCCACTGCAAAAATCGCCATGACGGCCAAAGTCGTCTTCACAGCAGCCGCAACCTTTACACGCCTCTCTCTGCATTGCTTCTATTACCGACTCGTGTCAGAATCCCAAAAATCGTAAGTTACTCGGAGCAGCACGGTTTACAAACTACGTACCTGTATTGACTTGGCATTCTGCTTCAGCTGGTTCAAGTGGCTGGTCCATTTCAATGTCCTTTACACCTTGTGCATTTTCATATCGTTTACCTTTCTCTCCATATTCATCTGTGTACCAGTCAGTGACTACTGGACAATTGGCGCACCACCAGATGCTTGCTTGAATGAAGCTGTGACGACTTTGGTCTGCGGAATCATCAACTGCATTGCAGATTTGCTTACAACAATAACACCTATTCCCCTAGTGCTGTCTGTAAGTCTTCTCAATCCAGTCGCAGGTTCACAACGAATACTGAGACTTGAAAGCTGCAAATGCCCCTGAATCAGCGTCTAGCTGTGACCTTCCTCTTCGGCATAGGCCTTCTCGTTACCGCTGCTGGCGTCGTGCGAACATGGTACATATACCGAAGCCTTTTTAACGAGTACGACCAGACGTGGTACGCATACCCGTTGTGGATTGCTGCTGCCGTAGAAATTGATCTAGGGGTTGTGAGTGTATTGTGGAATGTTGCCTCTTGCAATGCTGACCACTAAAACTAGATTTGCGCTTCAGCTCCTGTTCTTAAACCACTTCTTGCTAAAATACCCTTCAGCCTCTCTTCAACTTTCACGAGAGGTATACATTTCAAAAATTCGGTTGTTGACACGTCAAAGACACTGATAGCTGGCCGATCAGCAAATTTTGTATCAAAGCGAAGATCGACTGGCCTCCAAAACATACCAGAACTCGTGGCGGACAAGGGGCAAAGCTATGAGATGAAAAATTGGGCAGATGGAGATGCAGGGTTTATCGACTTGGAAACTGGCAGCCGAGAAGTGACTCTGGAAACCGACCAAGAGCCAAAGAAGGGTGTCACGCGCTTGCTGGATAAACTGCGATCAAAGGCATCGACCCCAGAACCAAACCATGACATGTCAATCACATTGACTAGTCAGGATGACATCTGCATTGAGCCTGTAAGACTTAGCCATCTGCGTCATGAGCAATACGGGAATCCTTACGAAAGCCACATGTCAATGCCATTGCCAGTGCTATCGCCCTTGCCGATACCAAAACCATCACGTTGCACACAATGAGCCTCCATTTGGTGTTATGCGTCGGCGAAGGAGATCAGCAATGAAAAAAAAACAAAAGAAACAGAAAATCTTTGGCCCAACACCCTTCTATGCACTCGCTTTGTGAATTATACTACACTTGGGGCTGCTTGCCTTTCGGCAGCATTACCTGATTGGTACTCGATAGCACCATGGGATAATACAAGGATGGCAGTGGCAGGTAAATGTACAAGGGTATGGCGGAATCAATAGTCAACGATGGACTAATACCAGGTTGCCCATGTTACCCCACGAAGAACTACTACTGTAGGTGGTCAGTGCGTGCAACTGTTCAGCGGATGCAACACCATCTGCACCTTCCTAAAACAGACCCACCCACTTTAACGCGTAATAACTCTACTACTATAACTTTTATTAAGAAAGCGCTTATAGTAGTTAATATATAAAATTCTAAAGAATAACTTTTATATAAAGCAGCTATAAAAAAATTTAGTATTATATTATTAACGTTGATGTAACGGGTCGAGTCCTATTAGACTGCGCACGCAACTACAACGCGCCCACCGCGCCAAAAAGGCTGGCACAAGATATCAGAGCTGCTGATATCGTTGCGTAGTTGATACATGAGATAGCCACCGCTATCTGTACTGTAGCGGGCTACCTAGCCCGTTACAGTTGATACGCTACTACTACAAATAAACCTAGTCTGATATAGCTACTATAGAAAATATAAAATTACTTACTATATAATATAAAGCTAAGCTTATAAAGTATATATAGAAGCTTCCTAGTTATTAGCTTACACCTACTAAGTCTATAATAAAAAATTTTATATTAAATATTTGTAAAGGGCTACGCTAGAGAGGTATGACCTACAGTTTATATAGTAGTGAATTACATAACTTTAGTTATGTAACTAAATAACGTAGTTAGTTACGTATAAATAAGCTTAAGTAAAGAGGAAGACTAAAGGTTTAAGCATTTATATAAGTAACAACTATAAAAGGAAGGCCCTCTAAATCGTTCTTTTCTATATCTTTCTTCTTCTGTAAAGGGCTACGCCAGAGAGGTATGACCTACAGGTCACATAGTAGTGAATCACATGACTTTAGTCACGTGACTAAATAACGTAGTTAGCTACGTACGAATAAGCTTAAGTAAGGAGGAAGACTAAAGGTCTAAGCGTTTGTACAAGTAATAACTATAAAAGGAGGGCCCTTTAGATAGTTCTTTTCTATATCTTTCTTCTTCTATATAATAAGTAAATACATACTTATTAGTTAGGCCTCTCTTAGCTATAATATAAGAAGAAAGATTACTACTCTTTAATCTCTCTTGTATGACATAAGAGAGACTAAAACAACGCAAGAAGAGAAAGATAGAGTCACAAGGAACGCCACTAGCCTCTAGCCTAGCTATGCTAGACGAGGAATCTATCGCCTTTATCAATACAATAAGAGGAAATATTAACTAGCTAATAGCTAACAACGTACGACAGGCTAAATAGCTTAAGAGATAAGCAGTCGCACACTAGGAAATAATGTCCTAGATTAAGCTCTTAATAAGATAACTTTAAGAAGCCTATATAACACTATCTCTTATAAGAGCTTACGTTAGCGCTATAAATATAACTAACTAAACAAGTAAGGCAACTACTCTAGCCTTACCTATATAAAGTTACTCTTAGCCTCAACTCTCTAACGTAGATATATTTAACTATAGTACCTATAAATAATATACTTAGTAGAAGATGCGTATATAGGCTAAGCTCTTTGTAGATAGAGTAGCTTACCTAAGTAAGGAACTTAAAACTTACTATATTGTTACACGTATAAAAGGACAAGCTTTTAATGCGCTCTATGCGTACGTTTAAGCTCTTATACATAGCACCTTAATAGCTATAATAGCTAGACTATAGTGCTAGTTAGATAAGTTCTTTAAAGACCCTATAATTAAGTAAAAGGCTCTCTACTACCTTTATACAACTAGACAAAGAAGGGGAGAGTTCTTTTATTACGTTTAAGTCTTTAATTTAAAATTTTAAAAAGCAGGCCTAAGCGCTATAAATAAAGCTTGAAAGATTAACTACTTAAAAAACTCTTTGAATAAAGAGTTGCTTCAGAATTAAGTAGGCTACTAGCCTAATAAGAATAAAAAGTATAATAGCTTTGTATAAAGAATAAGAGTTACATAGGAAAACTTAAGAGTAATAGCATAACTATTATCTAGATAACTAACTTTTACGTTACTTGTTCTTAGTAACACTTAAGCTATATTTAAAGAGATACACTAGGCCCTTACTTTAGGCGCAACTAGGCCACGTTTAATAAGAAAATACTAAGGGTCCTATGCTAAAATTAAAAGACGGTATTAAGAGAGACGTTATCTCTACTATACTAGACAAGAACACTATTATAAAGACTATAACGCTCCTCTTACTACTTAAACGTATAAATAAGGAAACTATACTAAGGTAGCTACTATAGCACCTATAGAGGATGACTTAGATAAGAGAAAAGAAGAGCTCTAACTAAAAAGCGCTAGTTAGAGCGAATAAAGTAGGAAAGAGTTATTATATAAGCACTATATAGGATACTTAAACTATTAAAGCCTATAAAAGCAATATCTATAAATATAGTTATAAATAGTGTAAGAAATGCTATTGTAATGCTTAACTATATTATTATTATTATTATTATTGTAATTTAACGTCCTTTCTCAGCCCAAAGGGCTATATAAGACGTGCAGGCTTAAGGCCTGCAAGTAACTACGTAGGCTAGAATTTAATCTAGGTACAAATTGAGTAGGTACAATGTAGGGGGTTATCTAAATGAAGGTGAGGCTCGTAGCCTAGTAGTTTTTTAGTGAGTAACTCTCTCAGATCTTTCACTTTAAATGAGTCTTCCTCTCAAGTTTTAACGAGTAACTCTCTCAGTCGAATAGGTAGTTTAATGAGTAACTCTCTCATGTGGGTGGACCATAAATATGGTTGTGAGGGGAGAAGGATTCGAACCTTCGATCTTTGCTGACGTGAGACAGTAGAAAATTTTCCAGGCGCTCCACCACTG